TACCTGTAATACCTACAACATGTTCTATGCCTGTGAAGGTTCTCACTCATCCAGGTTATCGTAGTCTAAGGAGATTTGAAAGAAAAGCGTCTGGACTTCTTTAAGTTGCTAGAAGACGTTTCACCTCTCATCCTAGGAGCTTCTTCAGTTCTAGGGTAAAATGGAGAGCCCCAGATTTAAACCCCGTGTTAATATCCCCCCAAGGAGGGACAAAGGACCCCCTAATGATCCTTTACCTAATCACATGAGCCAAGGTGTGAAAACGAGCTTTTCGGATTAGAGGTGAAACGTCTTCAACCAACTTAAAGAAGTCCAAATGCTTTTCTTTGCAAGCTCCTTTGATTACTAGTTAACGTTAAAGGGATGGTTGGCTCAATAGAGCTCTGACTTTGTGTCAGCCTGACTAGAGTGCTGAAGAGAAACCTAGGGTTGTTCTTATTTTCTTCAATCAGTGACGAATAGTAAGATGTTCTGGCTTTGCGGAGGGCTTTCTTATAAAGCAACAAACTATTTCTCGAGGGTAAATAATGATCCTCTAAATTTGTGACACGCCATTTCCTCTCCAGCTTACAAGTTATCGGCTTTAGGCTACGTGTTTGAGAATTATACGACGGAGTCAGGTAGTTCTTATTTGAGACCTTAGTTTTCACAGGAGCTACAGTATCCAGAGTCATGCGTAGTGAGCCAAGTCGAAAGAGCCGGTTCTCTAAAAAGAGACGGAAATCCCATCACTAGTGTAGGCACCAGAGGCATCTTGCCAGTGGGAGGTGAAGGAAAAGGCGTGCAAGGGCCCTGCACGTCCACCTGTCTAGTTGTCTGTGAGCTTCGGCTTATGGCCGAGGCAATTGCACTGCCTCCGCTGGCCACATGGGTGTCCCTGGACCAGCTCCGGAGGTGCCGCTGGACATACAGGCGGCCCCTGGACCCACCTCGTCACCACTGCCGCTGAATCCATGGGCGGCCACCTGAATGGAAACCTCCCTGTTGCTGGGCTAGGGGCCAGGGCCACCGACAGTGCTGTGCAATTCCCTCTACCGCTCGCAACAGAAAAACAACAGATTAAATGCCATGTTAAGGCTTTCATTTTGGGTATCTATATCAAAGTCAAAGTCAGCTTTATTGTCAAAAACAATATGTACAGATCATAAACAGGAATTTGAAATTGCAATGTTCCCATGGCCCTAAGTGTACACTAAAACAGTATATTTGGATTTTAAAAATGAATGGAAAATTTTTATTAAAACTTATTTGAAAGTATGTAATATATCTAAAATTTCATGTGTCCAACCTTTGTAATATGCAACTTTCATGCAAATCTGAGATGGTTAAGCAGAAGGCTAAGTTTCATTTGTGACCAAATTACCCAAATAACTGATGATATTTAGATAAAAGTCATCAAGATGTAAATAAATTTATACCTACAATAAATAGTTGTTGACACTATATAAACCATTATAGACTAAAATTTCTGCTTAAACTCTTAAGGGAACAGAAATTTTAACGAATATTTAAAAAAAAGATGAATTAATTGTTGATGTTGTATTTTTATTATTGTTATCCAGAACTTCGAGCTGCAGTTTGTCAACGGAAACTTAAATCTAAGCGGAAGGATGAGTTCCAGTGTGTGTTTGAGGGGATCGCTAAAGCAGGAAACCCAACC